AGCCAGAGCATTCAAAAGTGTAATCTGGCGTCTTAGCTCTAGGGTTTTAGGTTTTATACTTTTCTGTTCATGGGCTTCGTGGGCCCCGAGATTATCGGGATTCTCCTTAACCGTTCTTATCTCGAGGCCGTGGGGTAAGTGGTGGTTAGTCAAGTCGGGATTTTACCGGCAAGGCCCGTACTAAGGGACCTGTCGGGAGAAAGACGAGTGCCCCTCACTGGTGCGTGTAATTGAGCCAGAGCCGGGTTGATGTACGCTGTGACGATCCAGTCAGATATTAGACGAGTGGGGGAGGGTCCAATCGGCATTTTACCGGGAAGGTACAGAAATAGTCACGAATCACTGATATTAGGCATGACTTGTCATAATTGGTAAGAATTGACGTTTTGGAGTTATGAGTGAAATGGTATATCTCATTTCAACATTGATTTACTCTTTAAATTAAAAACGAATAAAATTTAATATTATATTATATATTTTTTGCTTTTAACAATTTTTTTTTAAGAGTTTCTTTTAAGAATTAAAACCATTTTACTTTAAAAATGATTTTATAATAAGATTTCTTTCTTTTTTACCTATATCTTCTTTTTAATTAGTTTTCCTTAAACTAATTTTTTATATTCTTTTAAATATATTTTTCTAATATAAAATACTTATACTTTTAATTATTTATTTAAATTAAAAAAACAATATACTTATACCTGCAAAAGGGTTCTATAGTGAATTCTTTTTCTTTTAAAATGCTAATTTTTCACTGCCTAAGTATTTGACTTCATAGTCTTCGATCCTTAGGAGGAAAAGGAGTGGACATATAAAAATCATTCCAACGATTAAGTTAGCATTTAGCATCGACAAATACGATATATTAAATGTTGTAATAAATAAGATCTAAAAGTGTTTTTTTTTCTTTCTATTACTAATATTATTTATACTATATTCTTATTGAGTCTAAGCATTAATGATGGGCCTAGGTCTCCTAATTTTTCCTTGAGTCGTTGCTCGACTTCAGGAGATAGACAAATCTTTCATGTTTTGATCATATAAACCTTCCTTAATAGTTTTCGATTGAGATTTGACAAGTCTTTAGTCTAAATCTTGTTAGCATAAATTCTCAGCTTAAATTATGGCTGTATAATATAAAATGAAAATGTTTTTCTCAAAAATCAAAAAAGCTAAACTAATTAAAATCAAAATCAAAATTCATTCACCAAAAAGAAAATTAAAATCAAAATTTGACCCCATAAAAACAATGCTAAAAATTAGAGTTGTCAAAGTGGGCTTTAGCATGTGAACCAACTTGGTCCACCACGAGTTCGAGCCGAATTGGGTTGAAAAAAATTTGAAAATTTTAGTACAGTCCAATTTTGAACTCGGCTTACTAACAACTTGGCTAACCTTCGTGGTGAACTGGGTTGGCTCACCAACCTGTGATTAAAAAAATGTAATAATTATTGGGCCACAATGCAGCCCAACATGAGATAGGGTCCGTTTTTCATCCTTTACAATTTGCAATTTTCACTTTCAGGTTTTAGCCCAATGTTTTGGATAGGTTACAGATGAGATAGGGTTTCAACTTTCAACTTCTGAATTTCATAACCCCTCACGCTTCACTACAACGTAGCCAACCCCTCAACCACTAGCCAGAGCCACCCTCATGCTCACGACCTCACCAACCACCACTAAGTGGCGTATACTTCTCCTCCTCCTTGCTACGCGGCCACTCACCCCTTGACCGACCAGCACGATCGGCCTGTCGGTAGTTACTCTCCTTCGGGTTGTATTGGTCGCGTCACTTACTCCAATCCGACCGCGGCCGGAGATATTTGTTGCCCTCCTTATTGCTACTCGATGCTTCTCGGTTCTCCGCTGCCCTTTTAATAATCTGGTTCTCCTCCGTCTTGATATGACTCAATGCGAAAGCCCAGACTTCCGACATCGTCTGACAATTTGCTTTTTCAAGCGCGATATCGAAAGCCCCGGACCTTAAACCCTTCTGGAACGCGATCACCGCCATCCGTTCATCCAAAGACGCTATCCTCAAGGCGACCTCATTAAACCTTTGCATAAAGTCTTTTAGGGACTCCTCGCGTTGTTGCTTGAGGTCGAACAAGTCTGATGTGATCGGCGGCTTCCTCTTGTTAGCGGCGAATTGCGCCATGAAAAGCCGACTGAAGACATCGAAGTCGGTGATCGATCGATCAAGAAGACCGCTAAACCAATCAAGCGCCGCCTTTTTGAGCGTGCCCATGAACAATTTGCAACGGACCTCCATGCTCCCACCACAGATCAACATTTGGGCTCGAAAATTCGTCAAGTGTTGGCCGGGGTCCTGTGTTCCGTCAAAAGGTTCGACTTGTGGGATTCGATGATCCCTAGGGATGATCTCAGCTTCTATGGCTTCCGAGAATGGCCGAAAGTCTCTCGGGACCTCCAGCATGACATCCTCCTCCACAATCCTAGTATTAGCTGCTATTCTGGCTTGCATCTCATCCGCCCTCCTCCTAATCTCCTCATTCTCGCGTTGAATGGCTTCTTCTCTCTCCCGGGAGCGCGCATTCTCCTCTCTTAGGCCATTGATCATGGCCATCATCTCTTCCATGGTAGGAGGTTGTGAATTGTTGTTAGTGCCGCCTCTCGCCATGATAGGGTGTGGGGTTTTGTATTTCTCGGGGCGTAAGGAAAAGTTTCACCGTAGCCCCACGGTGGGCGCCAAAATGTTCTGGCCACGGGGTGCACTAGGGTTTTTTCCTAGGTCAAGCCTCACAGCCAGAGCATTCAAAAGTGTAATCTGGCGTCTTAGCTCTAGGGTTTTAGGTTTTATACTTTTCTGTTCATGGGCTTCGTGGGCCCCGAGATTATCGGGATTCTCCTTAACCGTTCTTATCTCGAGGCCGTGGGGTAAGTGGTGGTTAGTCAAGTCGGGATTTTACCGGCAAGGCCCGTACTAAGGGACCTGTCGGGAGAAAGACGAGTGCCCCTCACTGGTGCGTGTAATTGAGCCAGAGCCGGGTTGATGTACGCTGTGACGATCCAGTCGGATATTAGACGAGTGGGGGAGGGTCCAGTCGGCATTTTACCGGGAAGGTACACTTGCCTTCCAGCCCTGAGCCGATAAGGCGAGAGGGCTTGTGGCCTGGGAAACCAGTCGGATATTAGACGAGTCGGGGAGGGTCCAGTCGGCATTTTACCGGGAAGGTACAATTGCCTTCCAGCCCTGAGCCGATAAGGCGAGAGGGCTTGTGGCCTGGGGGAGGGCAAAGGTTGCATGGTCTTATCATGCACCTAGATATAGCCAATCTAAACCCATAGATTCCATCCTTGGCCACCAAGTTGCATCTAGGGTTTATTTACATTTCATTTGGAGTGCATTAGCCTTATGAATTTCGGTCATGCACATCTCAAATGAAATCCTAGATGTCTCCCCTCCTATAAATACCCAACACCCCACCACTTGTAAATACTCTGGATTATATGAATTTGATAGAGCATTTTCTTGCCTCAAATCCTATCCTTAGTCCCTAGGTTAGTTTCGGCTAGCTTCCTTCATTCTCCACCCTTGGAGAGTGAAACCCTAGAGTGGCCTCCACCTACACTTGGAGTGAGCCAACTTGAGCAACCATACACCAACCCCTCTAAACACTTCCGCCCAAACACCTCCTATTCACGCCTATCTTCATTCCTTCACCATAACCCTCACTTTGTCTACCCTTTGGTGAGCTTAGATCAAGGGCAAGGTCTCCTCCCTTCACACTCTACATCAATCATGGAAGGAGGAAGCCATCAGTATGGAACAAAGAATTCCAAAGCAGAGTGTGGAACAAAGAATTCCAAAGCAGAGTGTGGAACAAAGAAAAGACATACGAGAGCTAAATAGACCTAAAATGACACCAAAACAACAGGTGTGGCACTGCATAGTTATGCTCACTTGCACACGGATCCCTTATGGATTTTGACCTTCAGATTGTTCATCATATAACTTTAAATTGCTCACTTGTTTTACAGATAAATAAGCCACTAAAACAAAACTCAATGCGTACTGCTTCGCAAAATCATCGTCCCAAGCCAAAGGTTGCAAGACGACCGTTTGATGATGAGGAGGATGAAATGGATATCAGTAACATGATCAGATCGATGTTTAAGTGAGTATTTTTAACTGATATGTAGATGACATTGAATTTAATACAATGTTTTTTTTATTATTTTATTTTTTATTTTGGGGAGTGAGAAATAAAATATTTGAAACTTGAAATATTCATTCCTGCAACTGGACAAATAAATTTCCTTTATCTCAGACTTCAGATATGTGCTTAATTTTCACCTTGATTCTTCAATGATGGGGAAGAGAAAGGAGGAGGGAATTCTTATTAAAAAAAAATTTAAATGGATGATATTGTAATTTATCCTCAAACTATGAAATGCATGTTTAAATTCAGTATGATTTTTGCAATGCCTGTGTCTTGATTTGTCTTGTGATACAAAAGAAGGGGGAAGGGTGGTTAGGTCTAGGGGAGGGACAAATTTCCAGTCAAATTGTATTTCAATAAGCACTGTTGTGTCTTGATTTCATCCATTTATGACTTTTAGAACTTTCAATAATTATTTGTTGGACCATTTGCAGCTACAATCCCAGGAATTTTGTTGACGATGAAGACGACGACGATATGGAGGCAGGCTTTGATGAAATCATGAGGGAAGAAAGGAGGAGGTTTGTTTTTTACATTTTAAAATTAAACATCATTTAATATTTTATTCAGTCTTGTTGATTAAGTTGAACTCGAGCTATTTAGTATTTTATTCAGTCTTGTTGATCAAGTTGAACTCGAGCTAATGCAAAGTCTTTCTTGTCCTCATTTTGCGCTTAAAAGTTGTCCTTACAAGTTTCAAGAAACGCCTGGCCTTATCTTCTTACCCTTTACTTTTTCTGTCACTAGTTGCATGCATTCAAATAACTTGCTTTCCTTTCGCTTCTCCGATTACTACATGATTGTGTTGCGAATCCAACTGTTGTCATTTAATCATATGATTTCAGAATGATGTTTCTTCATAATAAGTAGTTTTTTTGCGCTGTCGATGATTTTGTATAATATACATGCAGTGCCCAAATTGCTAGAAAGGAGGACGAGGAGCAACTTAGGTTAATCGAGGAGGAAGAGGAAAAGGAAAGAGAGAGGAGAAGACGAATGGCCAAGTTAAAGAAACGGAAGTTTGGCGAGTAGTTGTTAGTAAGTCGTTTTGCTTCCGTAAGATGTCACTGTTTTGGTCATGGAATTAGATTATTCAATTCATCGATGAAGATAGAAAAATATTTGCCTCACATTTAGCTTGTTTTATTTAATTCAAGTACTTGGAAAAGATATACCCGTTGTGGCCAGTTTCCATTTTTAGCCAAGGTAAGGGCAGGGATAGGGGTTGCATTGTATTGTATGATTTCAGCTTTTGCACATTGATTGGCTGTCATTATAATACCCAATGGAAGATTGGAAAATTAGATATATTTGTTCATCGTGGTAATTCTTCTAATATTCTGTTGCACTTCTTCTGAACAACGTAGTTTGTAGTAACCTATCACCCACTTTAAAAATGAGTTAACCCAATCCGACCGGCTCACTTTTGATTTTCTTAAAAAAAAATTGGCCTGGTCCAGCCCACCACGGGTCGGTAGGTTCTATGGGCTAGCCCACCAGCCCACCAAAAATTTAAAAAAAAATTTATCAACAAAATTTAAAATTTTAAATTAATTATAAATTAACATAATAGTCATAAAATTAACATCATTAATAGTCATAAGTCATAATTCATCATACAAAATTAAATACAAATCGTGATAAAAGTTTAAAATAAATTTTTTTAATATTTTATCATATAAAATTAACTATAAATCATACTTAATTTTTTATTGTAAAAAAAAATGGTGGGTTGGTGGGTTACCTGGCCCACCATGGATTTAGCCCAAGTAGGCCAGGTCAAAGTGGGCCGGGTTGAGATATACCTATTTACTATAAAACTGTAATTTTTTTGGCCAGGTCCGACCCGTTTTTAAGGTGGGCCGAGTTGGCTCACGGGCCGCGGCTCACTTTGACAGCTAGTATTGAATGATGGTACCCAAGCATGATCCTTTTTGTTTTATAGATTTTAAAATTATTATATAGATCAAAGTTTAAGAACTAATTTGTGAAAAATGTGAGTATATGGTAAGATGTGAGAATGTACGAAAATATGAACTGTATAGAATTTTAAAAGTTGAAAATTAAATAATTTAAAGATGTTTTGGAATTTTTATTTGAAAAATTCAAGAATTAGTTTTGTATAGTTTCTATATCGAATAAGTTGACTTGTTGATTTTAAAATTAGAAAAAGTTTATAAGAATAGAAGACAAACATTCTTTAATTACACTTATGGGGAGGTTTTTTTAATCACGATTTTTTTTTCTCTTTTTAATAATGTCAATTTTGATATTTAATAACTAAAATTGATTCCATTTGTTAGTATTTTTTTTTAGCAGAAAATGTCAATAGTGAGTGAGTTATGTTAGTCAAACATACTTTTTCTTTGTTAGTATTATTTATCTATGTAAAGTTCAATATTTTTACATTTTATTTAAAATTTTACAAATTAAATTGATTGAATTATAATTATCATTTTTTTTTATATAATTCTCTTTCATTGGGTTGGTTCGAGGGGTGGGAATATGTTAGATTAGCTTTTGAATATATAGAATGGGTCTGTATCTTACAAAATTAAAGTTTAAGTTTAGTTTATCTATCATAAATTTTTTTATAGGTCCGACTTGATCTTTTTAAAGTCTAGTATAAACTATTAACTTATTTAAAAGTTTAATTTACATTAATAATGTTAAATGGACTAATAAATCTAATTTTTAAAAAACATAAATTTATTTTTAAAGTCATTATAAATTATTTTTTTAGTTTTCATAATAAAATATAATTTATTCAATATTATTAAAATTTAAATTTTGGAATATATATAATGTCTCAAAAAGGAAAAAATTGAATTAGTTATAGATAATTCATGTGCAATGATGTATGTTAGTATATACTCGTGTATATATTGTAATCTTATTCTATAACAAAAAAAGACAAGTGTATAAAAAAATATTTCAAATATTTTTTTTTATATCTAATTTAGTATATTATAAATAATTTATTCATTTTAACAAATTAAAATAGTTATGGTAACAATTACAAACTAAAAAATATTTATTGTACATGAGGTGATTTCAAGAGTATCAAATACATATATAATGTCACAAAGAGGGAATATATGATATTTTTTTTAAAGAGATAACTCATATGTACACTAACATACGCTTATGTACAAACTTATAAATGAATTATGATGATTAGATGATTGAAATGGAATGATAGATTGCTTCATTTCTGTAGTCATGTGTATCTTTCTTTGTAAGCAATTTTCAGTATGTCGTTTCAGATGGCAGTGCTAGTCCCTATGCCACTCAGTTGTAAATTTATTTTTACAGTATTTGTAAATATTTTTTTTTACTTCTTTTACTAATTTCAACTTCATCAAAATTATTATAAAACAACTATTGTTTTTTGTCTTTTTCTCTTAATCGCAACAATATTACTTTCTCAATCTTTCTTATTTTGTTCTTGGGACCAGTTATCCCACCCTTTGAGGTGCCTCTAACGTAGCGAGGAGACTAGTCACTGCTGTCGGCGGTGCGAACAAAAAAAAAAATCTTTCTTATTTTGTTGTGCATTATTTTTTATCTAACTTTAATTTGTTGGTATTGATTGATATGCATTTAGCTCATTGATAGTTGGAAAGATGATAGAACCCCTTCCTTTTCAAATAGTAAAGTCATTCCTTTACATTAAAAAATAATATAATTATGACTATAAACATGAATTCAAGTCTTTAATATATAAAAAAAAACTCAATCTTTTTCAATCTAAAATTGTGAAACTAATAATAAAATTAATCAATGAAAATCATCTAATTATAGAAAATATACAAAAAGAAAAAGATAGACAAAGCTACCTGTGAGAAAAAGAATGCAAAGTTGGAAACTTGTAGTTAATTGCTTTTGTATGAGTTGAGTGATGATTATCAAATATAAAGGTTGAAAATGGAAGATGATGTCGATGAAGGATTTAAGGTGAATTGCAAAGTCACAAAATAAATGAAGGATTGAAGCTGAAGTCACAATTCACAAATAAAAGATAGAGACACTTAGTCAACAAATGACCATGAAGTGGAGTGGTTTAATTTATTTTTTGATTTTTTGATTTTTTATGAATAAGGTACGTAAAATATTTAAGTAGTGATAAAAAAATATTAATAATATATATATATATATTATTTTTTTTTATAAACTTAAGTCCAGTCTTTTTAAATAAATAGGCTTTTTTAAATTATAAATCGGATATTTTATTAAATAGGTTAGGTTAAAATTTAAAAAAGTCAGATCATAGGTTTTTGTTTAAGGTTTGATCCATTTTCATCTTTAATTGGCTCAATAAAAAATTATATTAATTTTACCTTTTTTTTTTTAAATCGAGTTCATTCTTTTACATGTTTTAAAATTTTCTCTCACTTTTCTCCAAATATCTTGGTAAGGAAAATTAGAATATGTGAATTTTACAAATTACAAAGACAACTATTTAAATAGGTTAAAAAAATTTTAAAAAAATAATTATTGAGATAATAAAAGTTTCTACTAAATAGAAAGAATTTAGTGATTATTTCAAATTAAAAAAAATTAGTATTGAGCATCACAAAATAAATATTGAATAATTTATTTTGATAAATGCTATGTGGATTTTTTGTTAAAGATGATTCTATTCAAGTTGAATAGGACCATATTATTTTCTTTGAACATTTAATGCATCTTAAAAAAGATAAAAAAGTATGATCTAGATAGGGAAGATAGTTATGCTTTTATATCTATAATTAAAAATATCAATTTTAAATTTTAGAAAAGTAAAAAAAATAAATAAAAATTTATTGAATTAAAATCAAAATTCATATATAAAAACTTGAAACATATTTAAATTTGAATTATACATAATACATATGCTGATGGAATAGTATGAACCAAGGATCCAACCACCAGAGTTATGACCGGAAGGATACATAAAAATTTGGCTAGATCAAAGTTCAGTAGGTCCAATGGGCTTGATGGGCCCAAGTTATTCTTCACTTGGGCCACAATATGAAAGACACTATTTGTAGATATTATACTAATTATATTAATATATATTTCATACATTTTGGTGTTATATTTTGGGCTACATAGATTAGGATTTTTGGGTCTTAGGCTTATTAGGTATGTTTTTGGGCTTAATGGGCCTTAGATATTTTGGTACCCAATATTGGACTCATTTTATTCCTTTTATTATTTCCTATGTTTAAGACATTTTGGCCATTGTATTTAGGCCATTAAAATAGGATTTGAGAAGAGAAACTTAATAAGGCAAAGTTAGCTAAGTTAGATTACATTTAAGTGTCATTTTAGATACATTTGGAGCACATGTACTAGTTTAAAGTTGGTTGTACATGATCAGCCCCAAAACACCTAAAATTAACCCTAAGTGCATTCTAAATGAGAGTCTCCTAACGATTAAAGAGTATGAAAATATACTTGTTTTTTAATTCTCCATAATTGTTTAACATTATATATTTTTAATTTGTATTAATATATAGTTTAACATGTATTTTTTTTTATGTATTTCTTCATACAAAATAAAAATAAAGATAATTTTAAATAAGATGGAAATTGAAATTTAAAATAGAATATGAATTTATTGAAATTTATAAGTATAAAATATATTTAACATGAATATTTTAAAAAAAAAATAATAAAAATCAGGTCATGCGGTTCAATTAGTAACCCACTGCTTCAACCTTTGACCTACTAACCCAGTACCTTAACCGGTTTGACGACTGGTCCAATTTTTAAAACTATACTTGAAAGGTTGAAATCAAAGAATATTTTTTATAAAGATTAATACCAAAACTCACTAATTTTATAAGAATTAAAAAAATGTGATTTCAAATTTTAGATAAGTAAAAAAATAAATCAATTGATTTAAAGGAATCAAAATTAAAATTTATTTATTTTATAATTTAAAATATACTTAAGTATTTTTTTTAATAAAATATATTTAAATCTAACAATAAAAAAATGACATAAATAATATTAGAGCATATTAAAAATGTAAAATATTATTTTATTATCATCTAATTACATGAAAAAATTTATCAAACTTACAAAAGTTATCTAAAAAAATTATACCAACAATATTTTTAATTAGTTTATAGTATAAAGGTTTTTATCCTCACAATATGTAAAAATTAAACTTATAATAACAATAGTTAAAAATACCAATACTTATACCATAAAGGGTTTTTATATTGTCTAACAATCAATAACTTTTAAGTTAACTATTATAGAAATAAATAAAATTATCACACAATAATTTTATTTGTTGATATAGAAAAAATAAAGT